CGCTTATTCCTGGTTCAAGAGCCAACCTGGCTGCTTTAAACGTTTGGAATATTTTTTTGTGATATTTTTCATATATCATTTTAATGTGCATTACCACGAAATAAAGAAGTGTATTTCTGGTTTATTTGTTTTAATTGGTGGCCTTGAAACATGTCGGACGGTTCCAAGATGTATCGAATGTTGCACCAAATTCAGGGCGGAGCGTGTGTGGAGTATATGCAAGACCGGCATTTATTGCCGAGAGAACGTACCTGTGATTGCGGCCACTCGATGAACTTACAGGAGTTTACACGCAGCCAGGACGGGTTGGCTTTTCGGTGTACACGTTGTAAGAAAACAACTTCTCTCCAGACGGGAATTGTTTTTGAGAAATCCCGCCTTACATTGCCTATTTTGATGGAATTATTGTTTTATTTCGTGATGGAAATACCTGTTACTTGTGCTGCTGCGATGGCAAATGTGTCACGCAAAAGTGCAATTCACTGGTACACATACTGCAGAGACGTATGTTCGGCAGTAATGTGTTCGTTGTCCACACAATTGAGTGGTGTTGGTTCCATCGTGGAGGTTGATGAAAGTGTGGCGGTTAAAAGTAAGTACGGTAGAGGACGTCCGAAATCATTCGTGTGGATGTTCGGAATGTACGATCGTAATCTGAAGAAGGGTTATTTTCAGAGAGTTGAAAACCGATCTACTGAGGTTCTGTTGCCAATTATTCAACGGTAGATACAACCAGGAACCACGGTATACACGGATCAATGGTCCGCATATCGGTCTTTGTGTTCACTTGGTTACATTCACATGTGCTTAAATCATACTGAAGGATTTGTGAACCCAATAACTGGTGCCTATACGAATAATGTGGAATCCTTCTGGAGCCACATAAAAAAACGTTTGAAAAATGTCTGCGGATCAGTTGATGTTGTTTGGGATCATTTGGATGAAGTACAGTATCGTCTGTGGTTTCATTTCTCAGTCAATAATTGTGACAATGATATTGACACTTATTTGCAGCACAGTTATATCCTGTTTAAATGACATTTATCATTATTATATATCATTTTTTATTAACTATTTGCACTTTTTGCTATACGTATGGTGCGGTATATTTTTATACTACTTATAAGTAGTACATTTTTTGACGACAATTGTTTAAGGGGGCTGACGGATGGTAACGTCCGCCCCCATGTTGTTTATAGTAGCAAGCTTGGATTAGCCAATTCGCTTGTTAAGAGGCACCAGGCACCCACATTATTTTCCATTATTTCCGTGACCAACCATCACGTGATCTGAAATTTAGAAATATCAGAACCTCAGTAAAAAATGCACTCACCCTCAGTGAAGGCTCTCCTAGCCTTCTATGGAGGAGCTCTCTGGTGACACGAACTACGTCTCAATCTACCAGTATCCTTCTTCTCTTTCATCTTGTTGTTTTACCGCACCAGAGCCACTTCTTTGGTCAGCGAGTGTTTGCTTTCACTTTCCGTATGCTCACTCATGCTTCCGCACCTCCTATTTTGACCCTGCAGGTTTACAACCTATAACCATCCTCGTTTCGTGAAGTGTCTCGTCCTGGTTTTGTACGAAGACTCGACACACACATGCTGAACATCGGCATCATACGCCCCTCCGAAATTTCTTGAACGTCCACTCTCCATATGATTCCTAAAAAGTCATCACACACCTGGCATCGATCTGGAGATTATTTCGCGCTCAACAGCGTGGCAAACCCGGATAGGTGCCCGATCACCCACATCATGGATCTCGCGCCAGACCTGTCTGGCATCGAAGTTGTTCATGCATACAAACAGATACCGGTTGCAGAGGCCGACATCCTCAAACCTGGCATAGTCACACCGTTTGGACTTTTCGAATTACCCCGAATGCCATTAGGTTTAGGCAACGCCACACAGTCTTTCCAGCGTTTTATACACAAAGTTTATAGAGACTGAGACTGTGTTTGGGTAACGGTGGATCTATGATACCGTGAACCTTTAGCTTCTCCATCAACCGTCCGTGGAACATCTTATCGAACGCCTTGTAGAAGTCAATAAAGATGACGTCTGTTTCGTGGCCGGCTGCCTTGGAAGACGCCCATTGCTCCGAAGCAAGTAGGAGGTTTGCAACACGATTGTCGCGGTCGGAATCCATGCTTCTCTGGACAGAGAAGGTTGTTTGACAGGGTGTGTTTCTTGAGTCGTTTGGCTAGTCCCTGCGGGCTCCTCACCTGAAGCGAGAGTGTATTATCGCGGTCTTCCACTCGGCAGGCAGCCTGTAATCTAACAAAACGGCCAAAGTAGGTGCAATGACCCATGTCCTTTTTTCGCCGATGGGGTGGAAGGAGATGAGTTTTTTCCTTTCCTTTTCATCAAGGACGCCGTACTGAAGGCAATTCGCAGTGGTGGGTGCACACTTTGTGGGTATACTGTCGGAAGAAATCTGGACGCTCGATTGGCCATTATCATTCCTTGGCAGCTTGACCTGTCCTTACCAATGCAATCTCCTTCAAAACGATGGGGTGCAGCCACTCGAGACCCGACAACGGGTTTGGTTTCAGAGCTGTAAGCGCTTCCTGAAGTTCGTTTACGGTGATGGTTTGCCAGGACAGAATCGGCGCTGAAAACGACAGTGGGGGGCTCGGCGAGGTATCGGTAGCGCAGACAGACGCATGTTACAGCGCAAATGATTCCGCCTTGTCACCGTCCATTTCCTGCAGGGCATCTTTAAACTCCAAGGATGGTATTTCGGCTGTTGTACGCGTGTGGCGACAAAGCTACGCGTATAAACGCTTCGGCATAGTGGTCGATCCGAATGCCAAGGACTCCTCAGACATCGGTCGTATGCTTGGTTTCATCTCGGAACCAGCATTACGCAGCACCTTGTACCTGTTGTAGTTGCAGCTATGTACGCGAAACGCTTTCCATGCCGTTTTGATGCATAAGCATCTGACGGAGCTCGCGGTCAAATCAGGGAGACAATAGCGTGGGACTTGAAGCGTTTAGACGGAGGAAGGCTGCCACTAATTCAGTTCTCATTGAACGATTTTTGGCTCTTGCCAATGGGGCACCCAGTTTGTTGTGTTGTCGGCGAGTGGGGGGTGGATTTCGATAATGCGGGCGGTGGTGACCTGGTGGTAACGTCACCAAATTGTCACCCCGGGGATGTGTTCAAATCCTACCACCACCGCCTGACTTTCCCCATTGTGTGTTGAATGGCAGTCCTTTGATTGAACGCTTCCACTTCCTGAAAATTTACCTTTGCATATTCAATAAAAGAAAGTTAAAGGAAAAAAGATTATTTGCTAATGGTGATCCTCTCAATTGAGCCCCGCTTCTGAGACGTTGTCTAATTGAGATATGCTGGAAGAAAGGAGAACAAGCAAGGATGTCTCCTCGCCTCATCGGTTATAGACCTAAAAGTTCACAGGCGTTCTTATGCACTGAGCAAATATGACAGGACAGTTAGTTTGAGAATAAATCTAACAATCAAACTCCAGTTTACTCAATTTCAGACATTTCAGGGTAATGTGGATTTTATTCTTAGTGTTCTCACTTCAAATACTGAATACTAGCCTCGTGGGACGTTGCTGACCAACATGCGTCCAGGGCCACCTTGTGGGCGCAAAATTTGCTCAGTTGATCACTTCTGCGGGTAACTTGTTTCATATAAGTATGACCCTGTCTGAGACGACGTTGACTCGCACCTCCAACCTGGCTTGATTTTGGTGAAGTTTAAAGCGATGTTTTCTCTTATTTTGAGCACGAGAAACAAATCATCTAGGTTGAGTCCCGATAGACCTCTTACAATTTTAAAGGTTGCCTCACTCGTATACTACTCAAAGAGAAGATATTAAGATCTTTTTATCACTACTCATAGCCTTTCCCCTTTTTCCCCACTCACCACTTGGGTAGGTGGGCGTTTTACTCTTTCTAAACATGTTACATCCCTCTTGTAATACCGTGCCCATGCCTACACATAATACTCCATGTGTGGGCATAACAATCGATTTATACATTGGGACGCAAACCTCAGACCATCTGCATGTCACTGTGGCACTCAACCTGAACAGTCGCCTCCTAGCCTGATTCTCAGCCTTTGAACACTGAATTGGGGGCCCAATGTCTTGGGTCATAAGAACCCCTAGATGCTTCATCTTAGAGACCTGTTGCATGGGTGTTGCATTTAACGAGTATGTCCCATTGAACCGACCATCGACGGACTACCTCTAGATCGCTTTGCAGGCTTAATGCTGTCATTTTTACATCATCAACCACGGATTTTGAAGATCCCGTACCAGATCGTTGATGAATATAAGAAAAACCAAGCGGCCTAGCACTGAGCGCTGAGGAACACCACTTTAAAACACACCTCCTGGTTAGAAATGTAGTTACACACCTTGATCATGAAGGTATGATTGCGCAAAGAGGCTATTAACCGGAGGGTTACTACTCTTTGGAATTCACTCCCATTGGAGGTGATGGAGGAGCAGAACGCGGCGCGATTCCAACGACGTTGCAAAGAGCAATTGATGATACGGTGACAACTTCGAGACAGGTGAGCTGGTTGCTATCGGTGCCGGCGGTGGAGAGACTCATACGGGGTGCGGATCCTCTAACTTTTATACACGAGGATGAAAATGAAGAAGAACTGAACGGTTCTGAAGGGTACGTACCCCGCGCGCGGTTCGAAATGTTTAATTGCTTCTAACTATAATCCCTTTTAAGTAGTAAGTGGAATGAAAATCCACATCGGTATCATTGTCATGGTTTCAACTGAGGTAAATTTTAACATTGTGTTCATCTAAAAGTTCACTTCAATGTATTTTTGATCAGGTTTAAGGACAGAAGTCCTTTTGCTTTTAGCACGGGTTTACTTTATGCGGTCCACGCCGATCTTTGGAATCCATTTTTCTTTTTTTTTATGTGGAATAGACCCTTGCTTAAACTTTCAATTCATTTGCTAATGTCTAGCTATACAGTTGAAAGTCAGTGTGGTAAATGTAGTAAAGATACATCGTATGGTATTCAGTGCAATTGCTGTCGTCTCTGGTACCATCAAGGGTGTGCGAAGTTATCCAGGAAGGCATACGAACTGCACACGGAGCACAAATCCCTGAAGCGGAGTTGTGATCACTGTATATCACTAGTCGAAGAATGCTTGCGCATTCTCAAGGGTAAACTAAGACGGTTAGATGGGGGAAAAGCACTGGGGCCTTCACAGCCTAAAGTATCTGATACCATCTAGAGAAACGCCAAAAATTACTTGAACCGAAAAAGGTAGAACGATAGAGAAAATTCTGTATTTAATGCAAAAAGGAATACGGAAGAGACGACAGATCTGAAAGATTTCGCCTTAAGGTTGGAGCCCCTGGAAAAGTAGCTGTCGATCATGAAGAAGAGCAGTCAGTCTATTCTGTGTCCGGTGAAGAATAAACCGCTCAATAACTGCACTGATCCCCCAATCAGAGATGGTAGATCTCGCCTTTGAGGTGGACCGCAGGCATGTGCAAGATTTTCTTCGCCTAGCGGGAATGCCCTCCTTCCCGCAACGAGCACTGTTGAGTGTCACAGAGTGGGGTTGTGGAAGTGACAAAAGGTACTCCAACCACATACCCGGCTGGTAACCTTCGACAGCATGCATGCTAATATGTGCTCCTGTCCAGGGCCGTAACCATAGAAACAGTCACTAGAGGGGGCATAACAATTACCCCGGACAATGGTGCACTGGTTTGCAGGCCCCCTTCCTGACTGCAACCACTACTATATTGGTCCATGCCTGGTTCGTCCTTCCCTCATATATGCGAACCTTTCTGTGAGGGTAGCGGCATGAAATCCAAATTATTAGGTTTTCCAAAAACGACCGATTCTTAAATGTATTTTACAAAAATGGTGTTGAATTTAGCAGAAAGCGAACTGATTTTGATTTTGGCTGAATTTCAGTCATTTTTTAAATTTAATTTCTTTTAATTACCCTTCGTTGACTTTGTCCAGAAATTATAAATACCTCGCTTACCTTCTGTGAGACTTGATAACTCAGCTTTAACTACCTTCCATCTACCTTACACGGTACGCTCTGGGGATCTTATGCGACCGCATAAGATTAGGTCCGTGCCTACGATATCTAATCATTAGTCTAATGCTAATAAATACGTGTTCACTCTTGACTAAATGTTCATCCATATTTATACTGGTTATATTTTGACAACTAGGTCTAGCAGTGAGGGTCTCTGTCATCCTTGCGATCTCCCTGATATTGTCAAATGCTTTGCCAGATCCGTTATCTTTAGAAACTGCAAGAATGCAGCTCTTGGGGATCCCGTAGGTTCGAACCCCATTGATCATGCTACTTCCGGAAAATCGAAGTCGTCAGTGATGACAAAACGCTGGTATTTCGCCAAATTTTGTTGTAGGATCATAATAACACAACGAACTGGACCCCCCGATACTCAAGACTCACAGATCGTTTTCTGAAAACTGAACTTAACTGAACCGAATGCACTCCCTACCTATTTCAAGGGGACTGCAGCCTGGCTAGAATAAGGAAGCACTTTACAGAGTTCACCTTCTGTGAAAACGACATAGTCCAAGAGCTACACGCCTTATATAGGCATTAAGCAGTAGGGCCGAAAGGATTGCATCCCGCCGTGATTCAGCCTCAGGCAAGTGCACTAGTTGGACCGGTCACTAGGTTATTGAAGGAGTCCATCGGTACTTGTAGGCTCCCAGGGGACCATCAAACTTTAACCCTTAATGGTCAGCCACACGTCAGGATATAGACACAAGGTTTGCAACTAAAGGCCAGTAAGTTTGACCTCGGCCTTCGGTAAGTGTCCCGAGAGGATAGTCAGGAAACAGATACCTGATGGTGCAAAACTTCTGATTCAAGCTAAGCATGGGTTCGTTGAGAAACGATCTTGCCTAACCAACCTGATAGCATTTCTAGACAAAGTGACACAAAGAATAGATGCAGGTGGAGATTTCCATTTAGATTTTAGCAAGGCTTTCGACTATGTCAGTCACCAGCTTCTGGATTAAAAATTGCAGACACTGGGGATTCTAGGCAAGGCAGGAGAATGGAGTAGACAATCTCTGAACTGTTGCACACTCAGCGTGAGAGTTGGAAATCATGCAACCGAATCTGAGGGAATATCAAGTGATGTCCCACAGGGATTGGTTTTGGATCCGTTATTATTTTTGATCTTTATTACCGGTTTTACGAAAGATCTCCAAAATCCTCGCTACGTGTTCGTCGATGATGTGAAGCATTTTGGGAAATGGTTGGAACAAGATCTAGATGCAGTTCGAAGGTGGTAAAATTAATTAGATCTACCACTGAATTCAGGTAAGTGTCAGCTCTTGACCATAAGAACCAACGATGACACGAGAAGTGTGATGCATTTGCAGCATATCTCTGAGTCAAAGGATCTAAGGGTAATGATTAAAGATGACTCCCGATCATCCCTTCAGTGCAGGCGTGCGGCTAACAAAGCTCAACACGAACCTTTCAGGTTGTGCGCTATTGTAAGTTGCAGAAGATCCGAAGATTTCAGACATTTGTACAGGACTATTGTGCGTCCTCATTTAGAATACTGCGTACGAGAATGGGAACCTTCAATGACAGAGGGACCTGGACCTGTTCTTCCTGACCCACAGACGAGTGCGGGGTGACCTTGTAGAGAAATCTAAGATTTTCAAAAGGGCTTTCGGGTCAAAAGTTGAAAGACTTATTCTCATTTGTTCCTGCCAGAGGCACGTGGGGACATCAACTTGGAATAAATCCACGCGTTAGGTTCTTAACAACCAGGGTTATACTACTGTGAAACGAATTGCCTGAAGCGGTGGTTAACTGTATTAGCGTCGAATCTTTGACGAGAAAGCTAGACGAATTCTGGCCA